GTGTGTGTGTGTGTGTGTGTGTGTGTGTGTGTGTGTGTGTGTGTGTGTGTGTGTGTGTGCGCACGCGCGTGCGTGCGTGCGTGCGTGCGTGCGTGCGTATAAGTTGGTTATGTGTTGGTTATCTGTATGTGGCTGCACGCAACAGCAGAGCCAGGCTAGCTGAGGGGCCCGACAGCCCAAAGATCGGCTCCCAGGCCAGACGGGCTGCAGGGCTGAACGCACGTACAAGCGTGCGCTCGCTCGCTCTTGCGCTCGCGCACGTGCGGCGGCGGCCGCGCCGCGGTCGCTCACAGTCTGCGAGGACGCGGCGCTGCGTGATGCTGACGGCCTCGTCGGGGGCCTCCGCGCCGTGGCGCCGCACCGCGCGCTTCGCGGACGCCTGCAGCGTATACAGCAGCGGCGGTGGCGGCGGCGCGTCAGGGGCCAAGGCGAGCGCGAGGCCGCCGCGTGCTCTTGAGGCGTTGTGGGCGCGGGCCAGGCCCGGCCGCGTGTGGATATAGCACCCGCCAGCGGGAAGATCCGCCGCTCCCCTATCTGCGCGGCCGGCGGGGCTGGGCAACCCCGCCCTGCCTGCCCGGTCCATCACCACCAGCGCTGAAGCCCCGCGTCTGCGCCCCCCGCCTCGGCAGGCCGCCCGTCCCCGGCCCCGCCCCCGGCCTGAGCCTCACCTCCTCGCTCACGGCCGCGGATGTGCCTGTCATGCTGGACGCAAACGCGGCCTCGAAGTAGCGCAGGTTTGGCCGGAACGCGGGGCCCTCGCCCGCGGACGCCGGCCTGCTGGTGTGCAGGACATCCGTGGGCTTCGCCGAGTGCCCGCCGACCATCTTGATCCCGCCAGCGGGAGCAGCAGGGGTCTCGGCGGCGGCGGCCGGCGGCGTGCCCTTGCCGCGCAGGGGCGTCTTGCGGCCGCTGTAGCGCGCGCCGGGGCCGAGGCCGGCACCGTCCGCGGCGGGGGCGGGGGCGGACTTGAGGCGGCGGGTGCTCATGTGGAGGTACTCCACACAGCGCGGGGATGGGGTGCGCGTGGGTTCAGGGGCGGACATGTCTGCGCGTTTCGGGCAAGGCGGGGCGCCGGAGGGTTGGAGCAGGAGGCCGGGCGATTGGGGCGGTAGCCGCAGCTCGCGGCGGGGCAGCGGGCGCCCCCCCCCCCCGTCATCAGGGCCAAATTGCGGGTGTCGGGGGCAGTGGAGGGGAAATTGGTTGCCGTATAAATTCGCACCAGCGCGGGCTGCGCAGGCGGATGCGGATATGCACACCCCTCGCTGTGCAGGCCAAGTGAACGAGGCACTAGCTATCTGCGCTTCCCCAGCAACGCTTTAGAGGCGTTTGGGGGAGGGGAAACGAAGGTGCCTGAAAGGCATTGGTTGATGCTGCTGCTGCAGACTGCATGCGTCGCCCATGCGGGGCTATCAGGGTCCGCTCACTCACCATATGTGGACGGCATTTTGACTGGCCCCGTCAGCGGTCAAGGCGCGAAAGAAAGTCTTGGCTGTGTGCGACAGCTCCCAAGGGCCTGAGAGGGCACATTTTGATCATGTATACAAGTCGAATAACTCCGTCATGCGGTGAATGGGCTTCGACCACCTTGCCCAGGACGGGCTGCCTAGACATTCGCGGTAGGGGCCTCGTCGTCGTCCTGAGCCCCGTGCAGGGCGTGATCGGCCCTATACACACAATTATCCCCACCTGAACGCAGAGTGCAATCAGGGCGTCCTTCAAGCCTCTCTAAAAGCCCAGGGCTGCGACTGTGGAGGCAAAGGCGACGTGTGGGAGGGAATCCCGTCTATGCAATTCGCTACAAGATATTTTATGTGTATAGAACGGTCGATGAAGACGCGCTGCCTGATGTATGGCGCGCCGACTGCTCCTGTTCTACAAGAAGTTGCAGTGACTGGCACTGCACTGTGGACTCGGGATGTGCCCTCGGTGTCCATCACAGAGAGACCTCAAGAGGGTGCAGTACTTATTCAAGATACTCGAATACGCTGCCAACGCGGCCGCAAGCTTGCGGCAGCATCATGACACCGTGCTAGCTACCAGTCCGCTAGATCGCCCTGTAGTGGTCAGTTGATCATCATCCATCAGTGCCAAATATCTATCAGGTTGTTTTCGGCTGTGGCTGGTCCAACGGGGACGCCCCGTGGTACAAAATGACGCGTCTTCGCTTTCAGGGCTTGTGTCCGTATCCCCCTGAGGACAAGGTGGATGACTGGGGTCTCACGCTCGAACAGCAGGTGTGCGGTGGAGCCTTCCGCGCCTGCGCCCGCGCCCTGATGCTGGTGCTGGGTGCCGCACTGGCAGGGGCAGGAGTGCCAGTGGTGTGGTGTGGTGTGATGGCATCGCGCGCAGCCTGGGCGGTTGGCCCCAGGCCGACAGCCACCCAGAAACTTGACGCTGCACCTAGCAGACCTGACAGACCACCGAGCACGGGCTGCCAGGCCGACCGATCGGTGTCGATGCTTGCGGCCTTCTGCACCCGCCTGGTGCCAACCGATGTCGGGGATGGGTGCTTCCGTCGCATGCAAGCGGCGCATCGCTCGAGCGGCGTGCCAGCGGCGCCTGCTGCTGAAGCGGCCAGCAGGCTTCAACACAAGAGCGGCGCCTGTCAGGCAACCGAGGCCCACCCTTGTGGCTCCGCCCGACATGGCGTCCGGACCCACCCGATTGCAGGAGTCACATGTGGAGCAGTTCCGGCAGCTGCTGGAGCAGCGGGGCTGCTGGCGCAAAGACGACCACGGTGGGTGCGGGCCCCGAGCAGCGCCCGCCCGCAGCCTCGCCCCGCACCCCCGCCTCAGCTGACAGTCCTGTACTTGTCTAGCGGCCTGCTGCGGCCGAGGCTCAGCTGCTCGGCAGTCTGTGCAGCGTGGCCCCATCCTCCTGGCTTGGCGGCACTCACTCAAGCTGCCGCACTTGCATCGGCACCACCCATGCACGCGCACGCGCCCACCAGGCCCTTCCCCCCACGATGTGTGCCACACCTCAATTACCCCCCCCTCCCCCGGGCGCTCGCTGCCGCTGCCGCTGCGGCCGCCTCCGCCTCCGCCTCCGCCGCCGACGCAGACTACTACACGCTCCTCCGCTTTGTGCGCGCGCGCAACTACGAGCTTGACAAGGCGTTCAAAATGTGGAGCGACAGCCTGGCCTGGCGGAAGGAGTTTGACGTTGACGCTATCCTGGACAACTTTGTGTTCCACGAGCGGGAGCAGTTCCTCATGGCATACGTGAGCCGCCGCAACTTGCGCGGCTGGGGAGCCCGGACGGGGACCCGGGTCTGCGGGCGTCGGATGGGGCGGCCGGGGGAGGGGCTGAGTACGGGGGGAGCGGCGGGCGCGGCGAGCGGCGGGGCGGCGGTGGCTGCAGTGTCAATACATGGTGGGGCAGCCGCTGCGAGGGTGATGGACACTCTCACCCTTGCTACGGGATGATAGTCTTGACGTGCTCGTGCTCTCATACTGTTGCGCGGCCTCACTTTGACCTCTCGCAGCCGCAAGGGTACCACAAAACGGACAAGCTGGTGGGTCCGCGGTTGGAGGTTGGGGACGGCAGGGAGTGCGAGAGGGTCTCGGGCGGGGCCAGCCGGTTGGGCAGCGGCAGCTGGTGGGAGCGGCAGCGCAGCAGCCCGCGCGGGGTTGGCGTCGACGCTGCGACTTGCCGTCCATGCCAGCACCCTCGATTCTCAGAACGCAAAGGGCACCCGCCGCGTCGGCAACCCCTCTCTCGCGCACAGCAGGCCGCGCCCCACGCACGCCCTTCGCCTTCCCTGCACTCCTTTTTCCCCCTCAGGGCCGCCCCATCTACATCCAGCTGCTGGGCAAGATCGACATCACAACGCTCAAGAAGATCACCACTGAGGAGCGCATGGTCAAGTTCCACATACAGGTTGGTGCATGCGTGCTTGCATGTGTGTGTGTGTGTGCGCGCGCGCGTGCGTGCGTGCGTGCGTGTGTGCGTGTGTGTGTGTGTGTGCTGGGATCAGTTTGGACTGTGCGCTGATGTCGGAGGTGTTCACATGCACATGGACGGGTCAGAGCTAGGACGGACGGCCGAATTCGCTCGCGCCGACACCGCGTGCCCGCGGCCCGGCGCACGCATGCGCAGGAGTATGAGCGCTGCGGGCAGTTCATCTTCCCGGTGTGTTCGCGCATCGCGGGGCGCCAGATCGACCAAACGTTTGGCATCATGGACGTCAAGGGTGAGTGTGTGTGTGAGAGTGAGCGTTTGACAGTTTGTGTGTGTGTGTGTGTGTTGCCCGCATACTCCTGTTAGGGCGTTGTCCGTGCATGTTGTGATGTGTCTGCAGTTGTGTACGTGGTTCTGCGTGCATGTGTGTGTGTTTGTGTGTTCCTGCGTATGCGTGTATGCGTGTGCGCACGGATGGGCCATGCCAACCAGGTCTGATGCGGAGGCCAGCATGCAGGCCAGGGGCGTAGCGGTGCTAGCACTGGGGAAGGTGGGTGGGGACGGCGAGGCACAATCTTTGCGGCAGCCCCAGGCGGCTGCTGCATGATAGCTGGGAAATCAAGCCTTAAACGCCCTTCTAGAGAGGCCCTGACCATGGCCCGGCTGCGCTCCTGCCTGCTGCCAATCCCAAACGGGGCCCAGGTGTGGGCGTGAGCCACCTCACGGGCGAGGTCAAGCGCCTCGTCAGCTTGCTGACCAAGTACGACCAGGTGGGGTCGGCCGCACCCTGCTCGTGCCGGGGCCGCTTGGCGCTGGACAGCGCTACCTTTGCCTTGCCTCATGGATGCGGACCCTCAGCCCTTCGGAACCGTATTACATGGGATGGTCAATCGCACTGCGGCCCGCATGCCTCGCAAATTCTCGGCAGCAACCGTCCTCGCGCGCTGCCAGCCCCCACCC